ATTCTGTTAGCCAGTGTGCGAGGGAGCGTGCTGTGTTGACAGTACAAGCAGAGGAGAGCGGGGAAGAGGGAGGAGTGAGACTTCAGATCCCCCAGGAAGCACAGGTCATGAGGAGGAGAAAGATGGGTGAGGCCCACAGCTTGGACAGAGAGTGAGGAGATAGCATAGGGTGCTAACAAGAAGTGAGGCAGGAGGAGGGAAATAGACCAGCTTAAACGGCTGGGAGCCCAGACAGTTGCGCCATGTGAAAGTAGCTTTCATGCGTGTAAGGAACAAATGAAACAGGGACTCTTACAAGCAATTGACGCTGTGATGTGACGGACCAGGTCTCGACATTTCACTGCGGAGAAGCAGATGCAAACACAGCGTGTGACGCTCTAAAAGGTGACACGCCAGCCACCTGGCCCCATGCCGCCCTGAATCCACACAGCCAGGAAGCTGCCCGTACTTGTACCAATGTGTCCTTTGGTTGCACCCTGTGGAGTGTTTGTCTCCCACAGTGAGGCGAGAGGGATGTTGAGTTAGCTATCATCTCATCCCAGAATGTTATGTGGAATCCGGACAGAACAAATGAGGCCCAGAGCCAGCTGACCAGCGCCTGGCTTTAGTGAGTTCTCAGGGGAAACCTCCTCCTTCCTGTGCCCCCTTCAGTTGACACTGTGCCCACGGTTGTTCTTCTCCTTCATCGTGTGCTGGTTGGTGTACCTTCTGGGCACCAGTAAGGGCCCCCTCATGTTTAGGTCTGTGTTGCTAGGTAATTTCAGAGCACATGTCACTGTTTGAAAGAGATTGAGAAGCTTTCTTCTAGAAGAGTGAGTGGTCTTCATGGTTTACCACTAAAAGCAGGCCGGTAGACAGAGCAAGAAAGGAAAGCTCTACGAGAGCACAAAACAGTCCCTTTCTTTTCCATGTGAGAAGGAGCTCTGGCCTGCAGTGGGTTCAAGGATGGGCTGCTAACTTCAAGTTCAACATTCAGACTCCATGGCCACTTGAGGGCAACCTGCTCCTGTGAAAACCTATAGTCTCAGAAATTCTAAGGAGCAGCACTGCTCTGTTCTATCGGGTTTCGATGAGCCCACATCCGCTCAGTGGCAGCGG